ATCTTCTTTGTTCTCCCGAACAACCAACCAAGCATGCTTTGAAACTTTATCTCTTTGTCTGCAGCGCTTTATTTCTCTCTCTGAACTCTCTCACACCAATTGTCGAGCCGGATCTCGACAAGTTACATGCTCTAATTCGATGTGAGTATCTTGTAAGTCTGGCTACTACATTTCAGAACAACGAACGCTTTGGGGCTGGTGTCAGAGTGGATTACAGTAATGCAGCCTGGAGGTAGCTGGTGCATGGATGACTCTTCGGGAAGGCTGCAGACAGTCTAACAGGCAACAACTGATTAAAAATACTCCTGGCAATCACTGTCAACTGAGTGCCCTAAAAAAGTAATGGAGTAGTTAGCACCTGCTCCTTCAGAGGAGCACAACAGAACATGTGGAACCACCTCAGATCAGCAGTGCTCTCTCAGAGACAATTTTGTCTGGACGTTAAATATGAAGAACCGGGTAACCTGTATCCAGCTATTTTTGCCTGTAACTCCCATCACCTCTCACCAGTGGCTAGGACTGCTAAGAGTTATGGGCCTCTAGATGCTTTTGCTGACAAATATCACCCCTGTACAATTCCAACAGCAAATTCATTCTGTGCCTATTTATATAAAGCCTAAATTACACCATCCATATACAAAAATAGCATCAGGTTTAAGGAAAAAACTGAAATAGCCTAAAGGGGACTGTGGATGCTGAACATTTGACTGTTGCAAGAAAAAAACAGGAGAAAGAATGCAACAGAGTGGTTGGAAACCCGAAGTTTTTGAGTGGCTCGTGCAGCCAGGTAATTTTAGACACGGGTCTTAATGGTCCTACCCCATTTTTGGATGGCCATGTGTATCATCTTATTTTTGCAGCATGCAAACATTTTCTGCTCCTTGCTGCCTTTCTATGCTTTACCACTGCTTATCCATACTGATACAGCAAAACAAAAATACAAAACACTGAAGCAGAATTTCTCCTCCTCATTCCAAGGAACTTTTAATGTACTGTCTTGTATTAAAAACAGATTTTTAAGGCAAATTGGAGAGCCGCGTTTTTATCAGTTGAAATCCACAATCCAATGCACAATTATGCATACTTAAGCCTCACTTATGATTTAAACATCAGTTTTAGAAAAATGCAAATCAAAAATTGTCTTACTAGAAATTAACTATAATTGTCAAACTAGACATGCAATCATTCACATCTTTAAACTCACAAAATCCTTGCATAAGTTTCAAAAGAAAGTGATTTGTAAATAGTTTGTGCTATGGAAAGAAGGGGAGAGAAATTTTAACTTTGTATCCCAGCCACAATGCTGCTGAAAGTATCCCACCCCTGCTATCTGTGGTGGGAGAAAATGTTCCACTGGCTTTAAATATGAACAGTATCAATCTAGAGTTCTATTCCAGAGTTAGGCAGGTGGGATGGGGCCTTGCTGCGTTCTGATCCCTGATGGCACATGTTGTCATTTAGTTTCTCCTTTAGTTTCTGCCTGTTCAAACACTGACACACACATGCAGGGAGAAGGCCTTCATATGAATGAGTCGGAATGTAAGGTAACCGTGGTTCAAAAAGAAGTGGAAGGCTTCTCATACAAAGGGTTTGGGGAAGGGGAGAAAGTGCATGAACTTGATGCTGCAACTCACAGTAACAAATGTACCCAACCCCTGTTCCTTTCTTCCCACTCAAGCTGTCAGCATTCCATGGTCACTGATCATCAGTCCTCACAGGGCTGACCGTGCCACTTTGGTCTTGCCATTGTATCTAAACCGGACCAGTCAGTAATCTGTTTGCATTGCAAACAACTGACACACTTCTATGTTGTGATCTTGTTTTACTCATTGTTGCACAACCGCTAGTAAATAACATCCACAATTTTTAGTTCCATTAGCACTATGCTTATTGTCATCCTGATGAAAAATACTAACTGGGTTTTAATTCGGTTTTGAAACTTAGTTAAAAGATGCACAATACCGCAACTGGTATTTTGTGTAAGGAAGTGGTATAACTTTCAAAAGAGAGTCTGTGCTGTCTATAGCTTTTGTGGTTCAAAACAGTACTGAGGTTAGATAAAACTAGAGAACATCCAAAACCACTCAGTGAAAAGATACAGCCTGCACAGATCTCTGAAAAATGTCTTGGATATCACAACCATTTTTCAGAGATCTCTGAATGCTATAGTCCTATTTGAAAACCTGAACACTCAGAAATATAGCATACAAGGTCAAAACAAAACTCCAGTTTTTACATCTTGCAACTTAAAATTGCTTATTTTCATTGGAGGTTTACTACTACAGTCTGTATCTATTACAAGAATCGTGCTGGACTTGCACTGATTTGTAAAGGTGTACTGCTATCTTTCCTGATAAAAGAGATATGGCAGAAGAACAAAATTCAAGTCTTCTATTTTAATTTTCTCTCCCTTATGTTTATGAGGTCTCTTTTCAGAACAAATATGTCAGTTAAATCAAGGAAAGATTATATAGCTTGCATTTTGTCCTTACGGAGTCAAGGAATCTTTAATTAGCTAAATCCCTATTTACACTAAGACTAACAGTAATTTAAGTAGCTTCTAATCTGCGAGGCCTCCAAACCCCTTTTATTACTACTTTTATAAAAGTTGTCAGTCACTTATCATCTTGCAGAACACAAAGCTTTTTTTCTGACAACTAATTTTTGATCTGTGCCTCTTAATTAACAGATTCAGTTATTGATGAATAGATTAAAAAAAACCTCCTCCTCCATGGATCACTGCCTTGTCGTGGTGAAGGGGCTTGCATAGCTCAATGAAGCTATGAGCTATGCTGTGCAGGGCCACCCAAGATGGACAGGTCATAGCAGAGAGCTCTGACAAAACGTGATCCACTGGAGAAGGAAATGGCAACCCACTCCAGTATCTTTGCCATGAAAATCCTGTGGACACTACCAAAAGGCAAAAAGATGGGAAGCCAGTGAAGCTGGTAGAGGACTGGGGTTATATGAGAATAACACCCAGT